AAAAAAAAATGGAACTGAAAAGGCATCATGAGAAACACAAAGCTGCTAATGGAGGTAAAAGAAGGTATGAACAGTCAGAATCTTCCTTTTCAGATGAGAACAGCCCCTATGGAGACTCAAAGAAAGGCACAGCATAAAGCTATGCATATGAAATGGCAGGGCTCCGTTTCATGCAAAACACAAATTAAATTAGGCAAATATGAGGATTCATCTGTTGTACTTCTTACATATAATTGCAGTAGAATCATATAAACTACTAATACTCAATTGATGCGAGTCTCTAACTTCGAAACGATTACCTTATCCAATGAGTGAAAACGGAGGCAGCAATGGCATCTATTGCTACAACGAAAACGGGGGTTCTCGGCCACCATTCAACGCCCTCGGCGTGGGGAGTAACAGTAAAGGTGGTCCAAATTTCCTTCGCAGTGTCAACGAACCACGCAGGGAATTGAAGTACTAAGTATAAGTCAGTCGTCTATCCTGCATCTCTGCCCTATTTTTGATCAGCATACCTTTAAGTGATATATATAGAACTTTCATCAACCAATGATTTTCAAGTTGGTGAGATTGATGGTGGAGAAACATAATACTACAAGTCCAAATTATGCTACTTAGAAGCAGCTGCCATAACTGGTTTCGAACCTTCAGAGTAAAGAGATACAAAAATTTTATTGTTAAAAATCACCTAAGAGCAAAGATTACTTCACAAAAAGTGCTTGGACAAACACCACTTTCCATCGTATGATGGACAATCACCTTAGATAGACCGTCTTGTGAACACCAGGTTTTATGCCGTGGGTACTGCTAGATACAGCGCTTACCTAAGGAATTCAGCCCCTCTCTCTTCATATGGATAAGAGGATATGGACCTCAATTACTGATCAAACAACGTGACACGCGCACGCCAAGGAAATGCGGAATGAATCAGAGCAACTTCAGCACGTGGTTGCCCCGTCACGTCGGGCAGTCGGTTTCGCCTCGAACGTGGGAGCGAAGTTTTAGTCCTCGAAGGAGATCAGTGTCCACAAAAGGAATTTGAGAATCGCGTTCAAAAGACAAGACACATCGCCGCAAGGAGGTCGAAGGAGCCAAACTTTTGTTCCGGATAGTCAACGAAGAGTCGTAGTCGTGGAAAGCCAATAGGAACGCCGGTCGATGTGGCGGCCGGCACGCGCTCTGAAAACCTAAAACAGCCTGATCTGTATGATTCACTCTTGTTTTGTGTATAGTTTGTTCCCTCTCGAAATACGCAGGAGCGATATCTTTTCGATAACTTTTGGCCCCTGCTTTCGAAAATTCCGTGCTTTTCCATCGTCTTCCTGGACAAAGATTAGCGCACGTCGGTTCAGGCACTCGAAGCTCGTTCCGATCGCAACCATTACGGATGAGAACAACACCTCCTCGATCGAGGGAGACATATATGTGAGAATAAGGGCAAGCCATGCCGGGATTGAATTCATCATGGACCATGTCAAAGCGAAGCTCACAATCGCCAATACGAGCCAAAAAATTCCGTGAGCAATGGCCGCTATGGAAACCCGAAAACGAACCATTCGAAATTCTTCCTCACTCAAGTCCATTTCTCCACTTTGTAAGAGATTACGAAATGCGCGGAACTTAATCACGAGGAGGAAAGTCGACATCACCATGAATAAGTACGCGAATTGAGTTCCGACTACACAAATGTAGACCAAGAGGGAACCCACTTCCTTCCTGAATTCACTTAAGAAAACAAAAGGAATTGGGTAGGACACAGCCCACGAGCAGACGCAGAAGACGAGGATGCAGTAGAGAAACCAAACGAGATTGAGGGGAAACGCCAGACTTTGAAGGGAGAGAGGAACGAGGCCGAACACTCTGGCCACCGCCAGGACGGGCCGGCAGGTCTTCAGGAACAAGTTCTCCATGGCTGGCCGCTCCACTCCGAATGATCGGAAACGTAGGTCCACCTCATCCCTTGGACTAAATCGATTTCACTATCGGAAATTGTATTGACGTTCCGTCGACCCCGCCCAAATAAACGGCCTTTCATTGTAGATTCTATCTCACCAAATATCTGTCGGATCACTTTAAGAATAATCCCTGTGATGCTCAAGAACAATCTACTTTCTGAGTCATTATTTCATTGCTGGTAATGACTGTTTCGTTTGAAACAATGTGTGTTTCTTTATTTATTTAAAGTATGTTTTCACACTGATGCTACATAAGCCTTCTTTGCTATAGATGTGATGACATCGAAATCATTACATTTCTGAACTTGCCACGGAACATAATGATAGGAAGAGGAATTTTTAGACCCCCGCCAGTTTCGGTAGGATTGTGACCAATAGCCACTGCCAAGGGATTGCAAAGGCATTGCGCTTCCTGTAAAAGTCTTCCCCGAAAATGCTATGATGCTTGGGTGCATCGCTTCTGCTGATCCAGTCATGACAGGAGTCACGACTTGAAACTTTCGATGAAATTGGCTGCAACTGATTGGGAAAATGTCAGCTGTTGACTGTCCCTGATCCAGCACTTCCATGTCTTGGACATTCTCCCGGTTGCTTTCGCACTTTACATCACTACGACAATCGCTCCACGAAGGGTAAGGAGAATGGAAAGTTTCTCGATGTTTGCAGTGCAGATTCATCAGAGAAGTAGGGGTTTTTTTCCTGGAAGAGTACCAAAGGTGTTTGCCCAGTTTCTGCATTTAAATCGATTAAAAAAATTTGTGCATATTTCGAGAGGGAGCCATTAGCCAAACCTAAAAATATCATTACGGTAAAATTATAATTTGAGCGATTTGACAAAGTTAGGCTGGGTTAGGATAGCCGATTTTTTGCTTTTCGATTGCCAGAGAGGAAATTCTAGGCGACTTCCTAATAAATTATTTCGTTCTGCTGGACGAAGCCCAGTAGAATGAATGCGTGCCTTCGGGGAATTTTTCCAAAGGGCGACATTAAAAAAAAAAAATGTTCATGGTGAATTGGACAGATATGGAAAGGTGAAACTTGGCACATGTATAACTGATATAATATTATTGAGTTGAGGGAGAATAGCGGCTCCCGGATGACAGGTCAAAAGAGGGGAAAGAGACATTCGTGGAGGACAGGGTTGTAACATATTAAAGTCTTGTGATTTCTTTTTACATGAGACTCCACCTTCTTTGCGCATTTGATGAGGTCCCAATTAGCAACACTATTCATACATCGTCCGTCGGCAAATTCTCCGGCCTCAATAGATTTTCTTTGATTGCCTGTTCGAATTGGAGAGTCTCTGCTCTAGTTTCTGGCATTTCATTACAAAATTCCTGTGTGCGGTCCCAAAAGCGACTCGATACTTCGTGAATGTTAAAAAAGAGCAATATTGGTCTAAAATGATGCATTCTACGATTGGAATTGCGCTTTTAAGCCCGAGTTTAAATTTGGTCAAATGCTGTCCTACTTCTTCAGCTTACAAATATATCATTAAGGGCATTCCACGTGCATCATGTGGAGACAATCAATGACAGTTTTTGGTGTTGCTGAAGTGCAGGATATCCAAGGCAGACTTCGAAATACCTGAAGTACATGAATAAATATCGATACAGCAGATACGCATCATGTCTCCGACCTAACGCACAGAATCGAATTGATGCATTTTGATCGCGAGGAAAACGGGTTCACCATGTGATGCGTTTTTATCGCATCCAAAATTTAATGCGATGAACGCATCCAATGTTTGACGCGGTAAGAACGCATCCCACGAGGACAGTTTTCTCACAACAAAAATGCCTCAAATTGATGCACTAAATTTTCTGGTTGTAACACTCCGCGCACTAACGAATCATTAATGTGGCCCTGTGTCTCAGAATTAAGGTTCTAAGGAGAGGTGGAACTGGAGCAGCGTGACGAAGAAGGTGGACAGGTTCACCACCGTCTGCAAAAAAAGGCATCAGAAATGGGAGAACCCCCACATCCTTGTCCCCCCGCTCGAAAACGTCGATTTTTGGACTCACAGCTGACAGAAGCGGGAGATCGACCTCGAAAAGGCCGCAGGCAGTCACAGGTCTCCAACTCCGGGAAATCTCCTTCTCAAACATTTCCATCTGCAAGAGAAGCGAGTGAAATGCAGGTAGCGGTATGCTTTTAAGTCAATAGTTTCTCGCTAGCTCCTTTGTGATTCCAAGAGGGGATGGCATCAAATCCTCCTCCAAAGCCAAAAGTATTATAAGGAACCGGTACGAGCCACTCTAATTTGCCAAGTGGAGAAATTGCTTTCGTTGGAGCCGGCATCCTCAACTAACACACGGCATTGAACTAATTTAATTTGTGGGATTCAACTTCGTATCACTAATAATCTTGGACAAATAAGATTCCGAATAACTATGTAAAGTTGAATATTAAACAAACCTGCTGTAGCAAAGAAGGGTGAAGGACGGTTTTCCCAGCTGCACGTGAAAGGAGTGCTGACATTTCCCCTCTCTGAAACAAATGATGCCAGATGCAAAGACTTCAACAGTTGAGATTGATTGATGCAAATAACTTACATTGTGCTTCACGCTTCGGCAGACGATGCAGGTTGACAGAAGTTTCACCGTGGTTATGATGAACCCAGGAATGTAGCAGATGTAAGGAAACTTCGTCGCAGACTTTATCAAGACGGGAGCTAAGACGATGAAGGCGGTGAAGAGAGCCGTCGCAAAGGTGGTGAGAGCCTTCACGAGCAGGATCTCAGAGAAGAGGCTCGAAGAGAGGTCGAGAAGATGACACAAGCGGCTGTGGTTGCATCTAATGGTCTGGATGAATTGAATCCCATCGACCGAGTCGGTGGTGTTCGGTGGAGTAGGCGTCTTCCAGCGAGGAGGGCGGATCCGCTCGCCATCCTGTTTGGCGGTGGGGATTCCCACACCTGGATGCCACATTCCGTCTGAGTTTTCTTCCGAGGAACAGAGACTCCCATCAGAATGGCCGAATTCGATACCTTTTTGCCCTTGCTTTCGAAAATTTCGTGTTTTCCCATCGTCTTCCTGGACAAAGATTAGCGCACGTCGGTTTAGGCAATCGAAGCTCGCTCCGATCGCAACCATGACGGATGAGAACAACGTTTCCTCGATTGAGGGAATCATATATGTGAGAATAAGGGCAAGCCATGCCGGGATTGAATTCACCATGGACCATGTGAAAGCGAAGCTCAATCGCCAATACGATCCAAAACATTCCGTGAGCAATAGCCGCTATGGAGACCCGAAAACGAACCATTCGAAATTATTCTTCACTGAAGTCCATTTCTCCACTTTGTAATAGATGACGAAATGCGCGGAACTTAATCATGAGGAGGAAACTCGATATCACCATGAAGAAGTACGCGAATTGAGTTCCTACTACACAGATGTAGACCATGAGGGAACCCACTTCCTTCCTGAATTCACTTAATAAAAGAAAAGGAATTGGGAAGGACAGAGCCCACGAGCAGACGCAGAAGACGAGGATGCAGTAGAGGAACCAAACGAGATTGAGGGGGAACGCCAGACCTCGGAGGGAGAGAGGAACGAGGCCGAAGGCTCTTGCCACGGCCAGGACGGGCCGGCAGGTCTTCAGGAACAAGTTCTCCATGGCTGGCTGCTCCACTCCGAATGATCGGGAACGTAGGTCGACCTCATCCCTTGGACTAAATCGATTTCACTATCGGAAATTGTATTGACGTTCCGTCGACCCAGCCCAAATAAACGGTCTTTCATCGTAGATTCTATCTCACCAAATATCTGTCTGAGCATTTTGAGAATAATTCCTGTGATGCTCAAGAGCAATCTATTAATACTTTTTGAGTCATTATTTCATAGCTGGTAATGACTTTTTCGACTGAAACAATGTGATTTTCTTTATTTATTTCAAGTATGTTTTCACACTGAGGCTACCTATGCCTTCTTTGTAATGGACATGATGACATCGATATCAATACATTTCTGAACTTGACACGGGAACATAATGATAGGAAGAGGAAAATGGACACCACCGCCCGTTTCGGGAGGATATTCACTAATGGCCAATTCAAAGGGATTGGAAAGGAATTGCGCTTCGTGTGAAAGCCTTCCCCGAAAATGCTATTTAATGCATATTCTGGCAATTTTAAGCGCACATGTATGTCATATTTGGGACTTTTTAGCGCATAATGTACTTGCTGCACCACCTCTGCTCGAACCCGGTCTCTGGAAGAAAAAAACTACAATCGCGTCCTACCGGATCTGCCACGGACAATAAGTGCCCTGAAAGGCTTCCATTCCAGATTCCTTACAAAATTATGACGGACTACACCTGAACCTCTTCACCTATCTTGGGAGACTACAGCAAGAGAACAATAAGCTCCAAGTGAGCATCATTCAGGGAATTGCGAAAGCTCTCTTCCTTTTAAGATAGTGAAGATATAATATATGCAGGGTTGGGATTCTACTCTTCCCTAATCCCGTGCACTGCTGTAATAAAAAGCTTAACTTCAGCATTTAATGATTCCCTGAGTCATATATCTAATATCTATAGACGATGGTGACTGACTGACTGACTGACTGACTGACTGACGCTAATTCTAACCATGTTCTAGACATGATGAGAGGCTGAAATTTGGTACACACATAGCTGTTAGATTGCTGACTCCAGAAAAATTCTAACTTTGGGGGTTAGTGCCCTGGGGGCTCATCCCAGGGGGTCTCATTTTTAAGCCTAGGTTTAACCCTCAGACGGACGCTTAGGCCTAAGCCATTCTCAGGTTCCCCTTGCCTTCAATAAAACGGTTGAAATGAGTTGGAAATTTAAAAAATAAATACACTATTTAAGAAATTTATGAGCATACTTTTGATGTCAAATTGATTTCGACATCTGATGGCACTGATGTAGAGGTCCATAAGGGGAATTTAGGCTCCAGAATTTTAAGAATAGTGAAACAGAACCTGCGAAATACGAAGATCTTTGCCAAAATGTGAACCATTAGGATAAGAGGTCGTTTCTTCATTGTACCTGATGGAAGCAACGAGGATAGTTGGACTTCTATTTACCATTTTCGAAATATATTTATGTTCTGCATTTGGAAAAAAGGCTTTTCGTTAAATCAATTCATGTTATTTCCAGCCAAAGATTGAACCGGGGAATTTCCAAATAAACAAATAAAAATACTAATCACCAGCAATTTGATNCCCTCCCTCCCTTGCATCTCGGAAGGTAGAGTCTTTCGACGGCAGCCTTCGGATGGTGGGTGTGATGCATGGTCAGGAGTTTTCTGGTCGCTCGATCGATGGCTTGGAGTTCCGTAGGTGACCAATCGATAACTCCGAAGCTGTAGTTAAGGACAGGGGTGGCAAGGCTGTTGAGGGCAGAGATCTTGTTTTTGCCTGTCAGCTCGGTCTTCAGTACGAGGCGGACTTTGCGTTTATATTCTGTCGTCAGTCTTTGCTTCGTGCGCTTGACAGCCACGGAAGAGTTCTCTTCCACACCGAGGTAAATTGGTACCATTGGTTTGACAAATGCAAAAAAAATTATTTGAAAACCTCTTCCTTTGAAATTCATGTCCCCAGGGCATTTCATTCCAAAGTCTGAATTTTTCTGCATGCAGCATCCGGGTAGGTAATTATGTACCAAGTTTCATCTTTCCACACTAGCTCAATACACCAGGACGAAAAAAATACTGGAAAACGTCGGGCCCAAAAAATATGCCCTGAGGCGATGGATCTAAAATTTTGTTTTTTTCCTTAACTCATCGTGTCCATGCCACGTTTCAGTTTTCCATGTCTCTCCATTTCATTCAAGCAACGGGACATAGAAGGCAAGAGAAGCAAAAAAAAAAGGTAAGGAATGGCAGGGAATTGAACCCAGGCCTCACGATTACCGATCAAATGCGCTACCACTGCACCACCGAAACGGTGATGTTGCGATATCGATACGACTTTTGCAAAATGGGTTCAGGGCGTGACTTCATGTTGAATTTGGCGTCATCAACTCATAGTGTGACAGGCGAGCCATATCAATTTTTTTTTATAGAAATGATAGGGGACAAGGGAACCGAAAATGTTGAGCTGGAATACCTTCTTGTAAATTACCTTCTTTGTTTGCCCTTCGGGCAAACAAATTCGATGTGCAAGACAGTTTACTATATATTTGCTAAGGAAAAACAGGTAACTTCCCCTTATAGCTGATATCATCTGAAAAAACACGGGGGTGACAGATGAGGATGGCATTCAGAGAGGATGAGGATGAGGATGGCATTCAGAGAAAGTGCAACATTTTAGATCTATGCCCTGGGGGCATATTTTTGTGAGCGGACGTTTTCAAGTATTGTTTTGTCCTGGAGTCTTGAACTAGTGTGGAAAGATGAAACTTGATACATAACTACCTATTGGAATGCTGCATGCAGAAAAATTCAGACTTTGGAAGTAAAGGCCCTGGGGGCACAAATTTCAAAGTCCTCTGGAGGAATTTTTTCGATGTGCAATGTTTTGAAAAAAAAATTGTCGCGGCGAATTGGACAGAAATGGAAGGGTGAAACTTGGAACACGTATAAGTGACATGATATTACTGAGCTGAGGGAGTATTCAGCTTTTATGGTGCATCCCCTCCAGGCGTTAGGGTGGGTCAGCTTTTCCAAACATGTTTTTTAACCAGCGAAAAAGGCAAACGTATAATATTGAAACATTGTGGGCATGTAGTTCACTGAGGATGGATTTAGGTGAGAAAAAAAAGGTACGTTTTGGCTAAAAGGGCTCAGGGCACATATTTTGCAAAAGGCGTATTTTCACGAGTTTTCTGATCAGCAAAACAGAGGGCGCATAAAAGTTAAAAAACTTGGCAAATAAGTACCTGATGGATACCTGTGTAAAGCAAAAATTCTACTTTTCTAATATATATAGACGATCTTGACTGACGCTAATCCAAAAAAGGGGAAACGTATGAGGCTGAAACTGGGTGGCATGGAGTTCCCTGAGTCTCCATTTCAGAGGAAAGAAAAATTTTCGCTTGAACCCATCAGAGCTGTTTTTATAAAGTCCCATTTTCCTGAATTTTTTTTTGATCCAACGAAACAGAGACAGAAAATTTAAACATCCCTCAGAAGTACCTGTGTAATGACTGAGTACAGGAAAAAAACCTACTTTTGAAATATGTCTCCTTAGCGTAATTATTGGAGGGAAGTATTTCAAAATGTATTCTCCACACTTACGAAAAGGGACACAAGAAAAGATTTTGTTAGGCACACATAGAACCATAGAAGTAAAGAGTTTGACAAAAAAAAAATTAAAAAGACTTTCGATCCTATATGTCACGTATTTCAATGGGGACGTACTTTAAATACGTTTTTCCCATTTCGCAAAAAATGAATGAATTAATCATTATCCAAGGTAATGGAGCGCCGGAGGCGCGACCATAGCGAGTTTGTTTGACCTTCGGGCAAGCAAACTCGCTAGTAATATATTGAATATATAGATGATCGTGACTGAATGACTGACGCTTATTCTAAACATGTTGTAGAGAAGTTAGAAATCTGACACTTGGTACAAATGTACCTTTTGGGATGCAGAGTTCAGGAAAAATCCGACTTTGGAGGTACATGCCCTGCGGGTACACATTTTGGGGGGAGAACTTTTTAAATATATATTGTGACAGATGAGGATGGCATCGAGAGGCCTGACGGGATGTCCCGTGTTCTTTGGTGTAGTGGTAGTCAATTCCCGGCTGTTCCTTTGCTTTCTTTCGGCCACTCATGCCTTCCAAGTTCTGTTACTCATTCCCCTCCGTAACATGTTTATTTGCTGAGTAAAACGGGAGACATGGGAAGCTGAAACCTGGCATGGACGTGCCTACCGTGACGATGAGTTCAGAAAAAATGTAAAATTTTAGATCCATCCCCTGGAGGCATATTTTTGAAAAATATGAGGGTTCATTT